GTTCATTTGAATTATTATGTTCTCTGCTACTGATGTCAGATACAAACCAGCTTAAAAGTCACTGAGAGAACAGGAGTGCTATGACCTGTCATTAGATGCCCTGTTTAATCATATCAGTTTTTAATATGCAGTCTTTGATCCCTTGCAGGATTTGTCAGGCATTTTGTATAGAAGGGATTCTGATTCAGTACCTTAATTCCGGTTGCTCTTAATTCTAATTCTATGATCAAGTTGAAATTCATATTTATCTGGAAATTTTATACTTTCTGTAGCATAGTCAAGAAGTTACAGCTCTTAGAAAAAAAAAACCCCTTTTTTTTATTGCTCTTAATTCTAATTCTATGATCAAGTTGAAATTCATATTTATCTGGAAATTTTATACTTTCTGTAGCATAGTCAAGAAGTTACAGCTCTTAGAAAAAAAAAATCCTCTTATTTGTAGTGACATTCCCATATGTATTTGCAAAATTTCAAGTAAGCTCAATAAGCTGGCTTTTATTTTTCCCCGTTTTCACAGGATCATAGACAATAGACATGGAATGGATCTTGAGATGTCCTTTTCCAAAGCACGGACATCTGCCTTAAACCAGTCCTGACAGATGTTTGTCTAATCCACTCTTAACAACTCTCAAGGATGAAGATTACTTTACCTCCCAAAGCAATTTATCCTCAATGTGTATGACCAGGCCCTACTATAGAATGATTTTCTGAAGTCAAACCTAAATCTCCTTAGCTGTGATTCACACTACTAAACTCCCAGTAGACGAAGACGACAGTTTATTCTTTTTGCCTTAGGGCAGCTGATTATGTCTTTGAAGGCTGTTTTGTGTCTCCTCTCATACATCCAAGACAAACAACCCTGTGGACTTGTTTGCACTGTGGATTTCAGAGCACTTCACAGACTTCTGGGATTGCACTGTAGGCCTATCCCTGGTCCTGCGTTGAGAGCCACTTAACTGGATCTGTGAATAGCTCCATAGATTTTTAGTGATGATCATACAGAAATCTGTGTTTAGTGTCGTGTAACAATACCCAGTATAGAGTGGAGGGTGAAGGCAACATTATGACAAAGGAATTCCTAGAACATAGTGCATAAGAAGCACCGGAGGAAACAGAACCCAGACGTTTCACAGAGTTTTAGAAGTAAAGAAAAGGAGCTTTGGATAATCCAACTAGCGGTATCTGTAGTATTCTCAGAGCTCCACAAGAGTTTGTAACCTAAAAAGATGAGACAAAGCAGAGAGAAGAATGGCTGGCTGACCTTAGGGATTGTGTTTGGGAATGATGATTTATTTCTCTTGAATTAAATCAAGAGCAATAGATTGCTCTTGGTGAGCTTTGCAAAACAAAACCAAAAGTAAAAGAGAGAGAAGTGAAAATGGCAAGAAAATGGATTTATGGATGTTTGTGTCAGCAAGACATAGCAGATCAGAAGGAACAAGGCAGAACAGACAGAGCAAAGGTAAAGTGGTAGAGATGAGAGAAAGGATGTCCATGGAGGAACTGCATTAGAGGAAATGTCACGGTTGGTGTTGCAAACCTGTAAGAAGATTCTGCCTTAGGGCACCTGAAAGCACAGGAACTCTCTCATTTGAATGTAGTAGAAAGGAAAGGAGAGAACAAGAGCTCAAATATTGCATGTGAATAAAAAGGCATCCTGGAGATAAATGAACAATCTGATCAATGATAATAAGGAGTGTTCCAAATCCTGAGGAGCTCTAAAATCAGAAAAGGAGATGTTTATCAATGAATTTGAGAAAATAATGTGTGAGTAGCCAACTTGCTGAAAAATTTAGGTGATCAGCAGAGCTATGAATATCCTGCAGAATGTGGAGAGAGTAAACAGGGGTTCCAGAAAGAAGGTGGTTACAATAGTCTACGTGTGAAATAATCGAGGAATGAATGCTTTGCTTATAGAATCTGCAGAGACTACAGCCCAGGGTAGTATCTGTTGCTATGAATTAGGTAAAGCAATAAAAAAAATCACAGTCCCTGAATCAAGATATTTCTTCTCTCTCAGGTGTCTTACTAATTAACTCCTCAGTGATAGTAAAAGTTTTGTGTAGCAATATTTGCTGACATCCCATCTTCCTCAAGTGCTTACCATCTGTTGAGCTGGGCTGAAGGGTTGAATGTAGCACACTGGAGAACTGGGCTTCTGTATTGGTTGATCAGTTTCTTCTTCCTTTTAATTATAGTTTGCCAGCATAGAAATGGTAAGAGAGTGGCGTGAAAGCAAAAGGGCTTTAGGTTAGCTTAGTTTCAGCTAGATTTAAACAATCTGTGTCATTGGGGAGTTTAAAGAACGTTTAAGAATCAGGCATGAAATTTACAGCTTTCCTTCATCGGTTAATTTTCTCAGATGATTATATCATGACTAGGGGCAGAAAGGGTTGTGCAGGGTTACTGCAAGGCAGTCTAACTGAAGGACTGCTGCTTCGTGAGGGAAAAAGAAAGAATCACTGCTAAAAGAGATAGCGATAAGGCTGAACTGGAAGTCTGAAAGTTTAAATGGAAGAAGCGGAGTTCAAGGAAATGGAAAGGCAGTTTCACTTGCTAAAATCAAGATCTGTGAGGATCTTGCCTCAGAAAAAATGGTGTGTCAAATGGGTTAACCTCTTAGTACAAACCTCTTAATAACAGTTAGACTCAAGAGAGAAATAACCTCTCACTTAATTACAGTAAACTTCCCCAGTGTAACGCTTCTTTCTTTCACCTCTTCCCTCCGGTCTGTCCATAATTAATCTTACTGCCCTTCTGCACTACACAGTTCTTTCTGGCTCTTTCTTTGTTGCTTCTCCACCGTCCTGCAGGAGTGCTCTGCATCTCCCACCACGCCAAGGTACGAGAACCGTGTCTGGTCCTGGCCTGTCTGCCTCGTACTGCCACTGCAGCCTGGCCATACAATTTGCCTTTCTCTTTGATAAATGTTAGATTCTTTTCTCTTTTACACCTAACCAACCTGAAATAACTCCATAGAAGTCAGCACAGTTATGTTAGTGAGGACGCAGTTTTTTGGCTTTGTTTCTGTGAACTCCTCTGTCTTAGAGCAGTCTTGCTGATTATCTTACCTGTTATGGTTGTTCCTTGAAACCTCCTTGCATATTCTCAATTACAGGCAGCACCCAGGCTCTCTTCTTCGCACTTGTATCCTGTGTGTCGTTTTGCATTTACTCTATAAGTCTTGTTTAGTTTCTAAGTACTTGGGACAGGGAAAGTAAAGTTTTGCATTTGTTTATGGCACTGTGTAAATGTTTTATTTTAATAATTGTAGTTGATAATTTTGCTGAAAGCTTGCTAATAGCTCTGGCAACACAGGAGAGTAAGGATTTTCTACAGCTTTTCACTTGGAAAAAAGAAAAAAAGGACTGTTTATACTTCTTTACTCCTTTGTTTGTTCCATCCCTGTTTATTGGATAATCAGGGGAGCTATTTTCAGGCTGTAAAAGAAAAGGCAACTTCAGTGTTGGTTGTAGTGTAACGTGGACTACCCAGTCCCCTATTAACCTGATTTAAGGCAGCAGATGAAGAGTTCTGTACATGTAAGAGGCTTTTAAAAGAACCTATTGAGATCAATTGGTGTGTTTTGCTGGCATTCCTTTTTATTCCTGTGCCAGAGCAGTTCAGTGTTTAGTACTCAGACTGAAAGAATTAAACCTCTGTTAGACTGTCTATTCCGGAGTAATTGCTGAGTCTAAGAAAAAAGAGGTCTACTACTGAGATGCTAAACAAAATCTACCTTAGCATAAACACTTCAACTTTAAAAAATGGCTTTGAGATCGATCAAAGATAGGAAACTGACTAGACAATAGAACTCTTCACTTAAGTTACTTTGTGTTGAAATGTGTCAGATACGTAAAAATAACTTGAATTTGACTAAATGATTAGTTGTTTAATAACCATCTTTTGTTTATATTAAAAATGCTTTGAGTGTACTTTTATTTCTCTTAATGGTTTTTTTTTTTGGAATCTAAGTGTTTCAGTCATACCATGCATTTTCCCCCAAGTGTGACTGCCATGCATTGTCAAGTGCTCAGTATTGTGCATACTCGTCTCTTCTCCAGTGTATACTGGATTCTTATGGAATTTGTTTTATTTCTGTGTTAGAAAGAGGTCTATGACATTACTTTGATCTTTTGTAAAGCCTGTTCTACCCAAACTCATTTTCTCTTGACATGTTGGTAGTTTTATTTCATATTCGTTCCATAGTGTTAGTTACTTCTCCAGTAATAAGGTGGCCAGAACTGCGTGCAGTATTCCAGCTGAAGTAACAAGAAAGTCAAAGAGAAAGAGTTTACAATCTTTCTGTCTCCATGACTAGATGTCATTTTTTATGTTGCCCCAATATTCGCCTTTCTGTTGCTATATGCTATTGCAAACTCATGTCCTATTTTCTGTTTATTAAGTTTAGTTCAGTGTTCATGTTTCCTGCTTTACTTCTGTTTAATATTAGTGTTAAATTATTTTCCCCAGCTGTGCATTTTTTCTCTAAAAAGTTTGGAGTGAAGGAGCTGGGAAAGCTGAAAGAACTCTGACCCACACTAGTTCTTATTTCTTTAGGTGCTTGTGGATTATTTTTAGATTGTTTCTTTCTTTATGGTGTTTCAGAACATACAGATTTTTCATTGACTCTCATCCAGATCTTGGAAAATAATTCAGTATATATTTTTTTCTTTTCACTCTTAGCCCCTGATGAAATTGCCAAAATTGGCAGCAGCTTTTTATGTTGAAACCCACTAACTGTAATGGTTGTTCAAGAAGCTGAAAAGCCCTGAAAAGCCAAAGCAGATCGCAGTCTTCACACATTTCCTGATTTTTGGTCTTCATTAACCTGATTTGCATTCCCCGTGATAACCTGTAGCCAGAAAGCAGTGACTAGCCATCTTGGAGTGGTAGGGTACAGCGTGTCTATTAGTATTAGGTTGAGAGATTTCTATCACTGAAATGTCAAAACAGAGATGATGGGAAAATGAGTCATTTTGTATCTTATTTTTCTACAGGATTTACAGATAATCAGTACAGATGAAAACCAGGTATTTGTGGCTGTTCAGGAGTGGTACCAGACAGACACATACAACCTGTACCAGTCTGACCCACAAGGTGTTTACTACTCCATCCTGCTAGAGAATGTCCGGAGCACAAAACAACCAGAAGAGAATGTCCTGATAGATATTCTAGAGGTAGGATGCTGTTCAGAAGCCCTCTTCCCTTTTTGTCTCTTCCAAAGTGTGATCTGAGTGGAGTTTTATTATAATTAATTTTGTGTTCGTTATTTTTTTTCGTAGTTATCTTTAATGTAAAAAGACAAGGCTCTTTTTCTTCTTGATAGTGTATCATTGCTATTTATAATTTTCTTTCTTTTCCTG